CCATCTAAATTGAAACGATAGTTAGACCTTCATGGAATGTAATGCAGTTTTATTAATCTATATGATGAAAAGCTTTAGTGATTCTTGATACTTGTTGATTAAACCTTTTTTTTGAACTATATATTATCGATATTGATTTGTATTGTTGCAATCTAACAACACTATCAATATATATATTATCTATGTATTTATTTAAATTAGCTCTACTCTTTTACATCTTTGTCACACTCCACTCCGATAATACACACACACACACAGATGTGTTTAATGTGTGTGTGTGCTTGCTTTTAACATGAACTTCATTAGCTTTATATATTGATGGCACTCCAAAACCTATTTTGACTAAGATTCCTTTGTACACCACTATAAACTGTTGTTTTGTATTTTTATTTTATTAAAAAAAGGTTATTTATTTTTACACTCATGATTTGGCCAACATGCATGTTGAAAAGTCAAATTTTTTTGTTTTGTTTTACGCATTGATCCATTTTCAAATCTGTGATGATGAAAGTGTTTTAGTGTAGTAGTGTCTATCAAGTTGATAAGTGACATTACAAAGTTAATTACCAGAGAAAAGGTAACAAATAAGTTAGGGGAGGATGATCAAATTTTGATATTTGTAAACTAGAGCACAGAGATGATTTTTTCTCTTAGAAATCATAAACATTATTTCAAACTAGTTATTAAAAAAAATACTATGCTCGTTAAAAGATGCTGCTGTATCTATGCTCAGATAACCGCCTATTTCTAGCAAATATTAACTTCAAGCATAAGGAAAAACACTATTTGACATGGCGACCCACCAAAGCTGACCCCACGATGGATCCAACTAGACTACATTGCTTTCAGCCATTGGTGGAGAGGCTCCATTGAAGATTGTCACTCATGCTCAAGCACTTCTTTAGATTCAGGCCATACTCTAGTGCAAGTGCGTATCTGTTTGCGTCTTATTGATAGCAGGAAAGACAATGCATGGAAACTTCTTAGGGTTCTACTTAACGATAGCATAGCTTAGAATATATTTTGAGAACAACTAGAAACACAGTTAGGCAGAGATGTAGGTGATGCCTACACTGAGGCAGCTTGGAACCGTACCCAAAATGCTGTGGAAACAATAGTGATACCTGATGCAAGATAAACCTTAAGGTTAGGGAGGAAAAGAAGCAGTGGATTTCAGTAGCATCTGCCGAACAGATAGGCACTCGAAAACTCATCCCGTCTTGCTCTGAGTACGACGAGGAGCGGAGTTAGTTTAGGCGCAAGCTGAAAGAAAGCCTACGCAATGATGGCGATCGCAAAAGAGAGTGAGACCGAAAAGGTAGCGACGATAGGCAACAGCAGACAGTTGTTCCGCCTTATCAAGAAAACCGGTATTAGGAATCCGAACGTGAGTGAGACTATCTTTGAAAAGGATAGACTCATTATTCATTCTCAATCCAGGAGATTGGATAGATGAGCAGAGCACTCCGGTGCCCACGATCTCCAGTCAATCTGAACGGCGAGTAGATGTCAGCTATAGGAAATCTAAAGCGAGGCAAAGCAGCGGGTCCTAATAGGCTAACTCTTGAGATTTTTAAGGATGTTGGTTTAGTTTTAGCAGTTAGATTGACCGGCATCTTAGACAGAATCTGCGAACTGGGCATAATCCCATCTGACCGGTCTTAATTCCTGATTGTCCCGATTTATAAGAAAGTAAAAAAGTCCTCTTATGACAATCACAGAAGAATCAGTCAAACTAATAAATAGTTGAAATTGTTAGCCTGAATAATACTTTGGTGCTTGATTAACTGGAGCTCGTGAAGAGCAGACTCGAGAAAAACAGGCTGATTTCAGACATGGGCGTGGTGTAGCACCTCACATAAATCTTGCACTTTTATCATTGTTGAGTTTTAAGCGCATGTACGCCTGGGCATTAGGTGCCACCTACATATATAGTTATTTGACTATTTTTATCGATTACCAGTTTAAATAATTCGATGTCAATATCGACTATACATATTTGAATTAAATCCAATGTTTGTATCGATCATTAAATATTTTGAATAGTAAAGAATTTGTGGCAACGACTCGTGTTCCCTAGCAGAGATCATCAAGACGGAGATATACGGAATTAAGTAGATAAAGATAGTCCAACGCTACAATAAATTGGTGAACCCATCGAAAGAACACAACGCCATTTCCTACGACTTCAAAGGAATACGTCTCCGTCTCCATTCGATTTATTACTGTGGACTTTAATTACGTTTGCTGAATACTATTATCGTATTTTCATTACACGTTTATTATTTCATCCATATTGTTGAAAATATTTTGACAATATTAACATTCACGCGTAACGTCATTATACATACAATTGTTAGACTGCTGATGTTTCATAAGTCCGTTCTGTGTTGTAACATTTTATTTCTTATTAAGATTATTACTGTCAATCTATTTTCCTTCCGTTATTCATTGATCACTCTATTTGTGTATCACTTATTTGTATAAACATGTCCTCAGATAACGATACACCACGTCTGTCACAAGTAGCGTCCGTGAAGTTCCATAATCAATCTATTCCTCCTTTTCGAGTCACCGACCCACACCTATGGTTTTTTAGGCGTGAAAATTACCTCTCAGTTAATCGTGTTATTTTACAACGAGATAAATTCGGCTACGCATGTGCACTGCTCCCGAATGAAGTAGCTGAAAGTGTTCACGATGTTTTAGCTAAACCGGACTCAAAAGGCCATACAACGTATTAAAAACTGCTGTCATAAATGCCGTCTCGCTGACCGACCAACAGGCCCTACACCAACTCCTCAACCGAGTAGAACTTGGTGGTAGGACTCCGTCACAGCCAAAACATACATGGGGAGAATAATAGGCAACAGAAAGATGGACAGCAACATGTTTTATCAATTGTGGCTATGGCAATTCCCCCCAACACATTCAGCAAATCCTTGCAATCGACGACAGAGAAGTAGTTATAGATCATATTGCGGAAATAGCTAATAAGATCTATGAAAGTATCGAAACATCGGGTCCACAAATACATCATACCTCAGTTAATCCTGAAATCAAAGATTTTAAAAAAAGAGATTCTCAATTTATCTCAAAAATTTTCCGAGCTAAATCTGAGAGAGAGACCAAAAGGACGATCACGAAGTAGGTCGCACGACAAATGTCGATCACGCTCTCGCACACGTGCAGCACCTACGTTAGATCACATTTACACACTACCATAGGTACTAGAATACAGACAAACATTTCGTTACCTGACAATGGTTATCTTTCCGGACCGTGAGGTTCTGCGTCAGTATCTGTCATGGAAAGATGTACCAGAGAAGTACGTTAATTTTATAAAGGCTCTCTACTCGGACACCACTAGTCGAATGAGGACTTATGGCTAACTGTGATTAGAATAGATTACTTCAAGTGGTGATCGTCAGGACTGTCCACTTTCTCCAATTTAATTCAACTTTACCATTGAAGTTCTTTCAGCTAAGATACTTTGATCATCTGACCCTTCAGGAGTGAACCTTTTACCAGGAGCCACGCTTGCTGACTTAGAATATACCGATGACATAGTTTTATTCGGTGAAGATGCTGGTGAAACGTAGAGTCTTTTGACCACCCTAAGCAACAATGCGGGCGTATTCGGTATGCGATTCTTCCCATTGAAATGCGAAATGTTGCTTCAGGATTGACTTCCATCGGAATTTGAACTAGTGATAGGGAGTGAAGCAGTTGAGCGCGTCGACCGCTTTACTTATCTTGAGTCTCATCAGTGCTGATGTACTGGTGTCTGACAAAATCTCAACACGGATACAGAAGGCTCGATTGGCTTTTGTCTACTTGCATCACTTGTGGCTCAGACGAGATATTCGTCCTTCAACCAAAGGACGAGTGTAATGCGCATCAGTTTGTTCCATCCTTCTTCATGACTGTGTCTTCAAAGCCTAGCTCGTATATCCTGGGACTACCGAGTAAGCAATGCTGTCGTTAGGAGACGGGTGCTAGGTAAGGATGGCAGGTCAATAGATGAAGTAATGAAACTTCATCAGTTCAGGTGGTTGGGACATGTGTTACGTATACCTAACCACAAACTGCCTTGTCAAGCTATGTTTGACGGTGTAAGAGTAGGTTGGAGGAAACCCACAGACGGCCAAACCACAACATGGCACAAATCCATGAAGTCATTGACAACTGGACTGAGTCATATTCATAGGTGTCGACTACCTGGTTGGGGTCCGCGAGATGATAGTGGTCGCTGGTTAGAGACCTTGAATGACATGGCTCAAAACCGTTAGCAATGGAGCAGGTGCATCCATTCTTTGTGTTCTCTAAAATTCTAGACTTCCTGAATTCTTCATCACCTTTATCTTTCTCTTTTTCAATTTATTTCACAAGATTATACTTCTTAAATAATATCCTCGAACCGTAATCTATCCGATTACTGTTAGTACTTCTACTACCTCCACTACTACGGGACTTGAATTAAAAATTGCGTCTCTGGACTAATGTGGTGTGGCAACGTGAACTGATGTACACACATACGAAGTTATACGTTGCTACTGACTGACTGACTCAATCCACAAGACTGTGCATCAGAAATATGTTGGAGCATGTTGAGTTGACGAGTTTTTATCACAATTCGATTTGAGATTTTCTTTGACCGAAAGCTACTACTATTGAATAGAACATAACATACTCATAACATTAACTGAATATTATTTCAACATGAACTGACCTTAGAACTTGTTCAGAATTTTCTAAACCAATAAAAGCAATTCCTGTATGCGGTATATTCAATAAATCAGTAAGATTTTTTCCTGGATTTTCTTTCATGAACGATTCAATGTTCGACAAATCACTTATTGTATAAAAAGAGTTGATTTGTGCATCAAGTAAATTTAATTGTTCCATATAGACTGCAATTGCATTGGTTTTTGATTTACACATACCACAATTATGATAAGTTGGCTCTTTACCAGTTATTTCGCATTCTTTATTTGTAGCTTCTAGATAAATTTCAGTTTGAGTTCTAGAAGAAAAAAAAAGAACAGTTTTACGATTAGAATGAAAGCATAAACATAATACACGAATTATTTATTATAATAGGCTGGGACTTATTCGTATTAAGGTGGGATATTCAGCAGTTGGGGCTCAACGTGAGAGACCTTATTGTTGAAATAGTTATTTATTCAAAAATGATATGACAACTTTTCACGACTGTTTGTATTCAAAAATCTGTTATCAACTTGTGAAATGTATGTTGTTTTATATAACAAGCGATATGGTCGGAACATGAGACATCTTTACTCAGATAAAATACAGGTTATCATAAGAAAACTATTTTCACAGTATGTTATCCAGAAAGCATAAATAGCCTTTATATTTCACCACAAAGTCAGTCAGTCAGTCAGATGCAACGTAGAACTTGGTACGTAAGTACATCAGTTCATGTTGCCATACCACATCAGCACAGAGATGTAATTGTCAATTCAAATCCAATAGTAGAAGAGGTAGTAAAGGTATTAGAAGTAATCGGAGAGGTTAGGATTAGAAGATATAATTCAAGAAGTATGATTCAGTGAGAAAAGTTTAGAAAGTCAAAACTAGAGGTGTTGAAGAATACAGAAGATTAGGATTTGAGAGAACACAAAGAATAAATACACCGGCGCCATTGCGAACGATTTTGAGTCATGTCATTCAAGGTCTCTAACCATCGATTATTATCATCTCGCGGACCCCAACCAGGTAGTCGACAATTAACGACATGGCTAAGTCCACTCGTCAATGACTTCATGGATTTCTGCCATGTTTTGGTTTGGCCGCCCCTAGATTTCTTCCAACCTATTCCTACACTACAAAACCTAGCTCGACGAGGCAGTCGGTGGTTAGGCATACGCAACACATGTCCCAACCACCTCAACTGATGAAGTTTCACCACTTCATCTATTGATCTGTCATTCTTACCTAGCACCCGATTCCTAATAACAGCGTTGCTCACTCGGGTGTCCCAGGATATACGAGCAATGCTTCGAAGACACCTATGATCGAACACCAGTAAGCGACGAATATCCTCTACCCTCACTGGCCATGTTTCACAGCCATAAAGTAAGACGGAGCGAACTACTGCACAATACACTCGCCACTAAACAACCTTGATTCATACAGAAAATGAAGTACAGCTGGGAGAGTAATTCTCTCTCTCTCTCTCTCTCTGAGTAACTTTAGCTGCGTTTAATCGAGTTCATGACTTACTTAAAGATAACATTCTTCGAGCTGTTGCCTTGATTAACTACTTTGTTAAGCGGTAATTTTGTTGTTCACAAAAGTTCTAGTTTTTTTAAATGCACTTTAGAATATCTAGTCTAAGCTAATTAAATGTAGACAGTAGAAAAGAATGAGAATTCAAGTACAAATATGACTATGGAATAATTATTTCCTTCAGTCACAATATATCGTATGAACTTACTTTGCTTGTTCAAGTTCCATCAATTGTCGAACCAAATAAACTGGTTCAATCCATTTTATTTTTACATCTGAATGATGAATTCTATAATAATAGATGAATTTTATGAGAATAAAAAAATTTTTTTTTTTTAATGACAAGAATAATAAAAATAATTTTTCAAAAAATTTTTATTTACAAATAAAGTGAAAATAGACTTAGGTCGTCATTACCGTTTACTTACATTCTTCTACTGTTAGATACTCTTCTATGCAGGCGTTTTCATTATAGTTTAATATCAGCTATAAAAAACTAGACTATCGGTCGGTTAGTCTTAAGTAAAATAAAATTCAGTGCATATATGCACCGGTTCAATTTCTCATATCATATTAACACAACTAGATCAAATTATTAAGACAAATGTCAACACGTAGTAGTAGAACAAATAACATAATCAATGTTAGAGAACTATTAAAATTAAAAAGTACTGAATAACTGTTCAATTCTAATCAAATCGTTTAAACTAATGTACACCACCAACAACAACAACTCTGTACAAGAGTAAAAAAACCCAGGATTTCTACACTTTTAATTCGAACAATAAAGTCGGAAACCAGCCAGTGCCTAATGGATGTCATCAATCGAGGATAACCGTCAATAATGAGGATCAACTATACAAGGCAAAATCATTACTCTCAAGTGTCAATTTTTAAAATACCCAATAAAAAAGTTGGTTATGTAAGAAGTAAACTCTCTAATGGTCATAATTCGGGAATGCAGTGTTAAAAGAAGATGGCAACATGTATACATATGTGATTCAATAATGATAAATGCATTAATTAACAGCAAATCTGTCAATCTAAACTTTGTTCAGTAAGAAATAACTTTAAAATCGTTTTACTATGATTCGAAACAGGAGATAGTCATAAACATTAAAGTGTAGAGGAAAACGTCAAAAAAGGATCAAAAACACCATGTCGTTTAAACTTGTAACATAAAATGCAGGCTAGGAATTCGATCTCAACCTTGATCAAGTGATCTTAGTCCCAAAGCCGCATTATATCGAATATTTGTTTCAACTAGTGAATACATAAGTGATGCAATGGATTGAGATAACTGTACTACATAAGATATAACAGAAAAAAATCATGCATAATCTACAGTAGATAATCGGTTTAACTCAGTCGCAGTTTAGCGACAAATCGAGTAAACTTAGGCTTTTATTCTTTTCAGTGAGTTACAGTAGAGTGGTCACAGTGTTGTATAGTTGAAAGTCTGTGTATATGTAACTGTAACAGTAGCTCATACTTGTGACAGAGATGCTTAAGTCGAAGTCAAGTGTCGAGGACATCGATCGTTGTCTCTGTGAAGTGTATAGCACAAGACAACCATTAGACATAACTGAAAACTTTAAAACTATACCAACTAAAATTGATCGTATTGGTACAGATGAATTCACTATAAAAAAAAGTCCCCACTTTAAATTCCTGTTTTAAATAGCTTTTTGTGTAGTCATCTCTTGTTCAGTGAAACAACAATTCCTATATTCTTATTGTTGGTTTCCATCATTATTTTATTAAACCTCTGTGCTAAATGTGATACAACTCCTTGTTGACAGTCTGATGTAATGTGAATTATTTCAAAAAAGTTAGTAAAGAAAATACCGTATGATAAGTGCTTTGTTATAATAGTTGTCTTTCAAAAGTAATCAAAACTTTAGGGAATTAGAATTTATCAGCCTTCTCTGATCAGTTTACTGGTAAATTAAACACTAGTTTTAACTAAGAATATTTCACAGCCAGGCATTTCGTACGATTATGGGGTTATTAACAATCGAAACTAATTCGAGTTTATATCACGGACTGACCTTGGCTAGCCAACCACTGGAAACCCGAAATTACTGTTTAGTTAAAATATAAGACTCTTTAGAAACGACATCTCGAGATAAATTTTCCTACAACCTTTAAAGTGAAATGAAGCAGCTGCCGTCCAATGATATCTTATTTTCAACAGCTCAAAAACTGAGACCAGTGTGAAACGAAAACTAACTTAAGATAGAATATATATCCAACCTACTATCTAGAATCAGTTTAATGTGAAAGTCACGGTATGAACAAAAGTCAGTAGTTAGGCTTTGTGATGAAATCCATTAATAAAGCAGCGGTAAACTCATCTTTTCTTAAGTAATCTGATTCTCGCTATAGGCTATAAGGCTGCGGATGAAGGACTATATTACTTAGGCCTGTAACCCCACATGGATCATGCGTCAAGGATCAGCATTCTCCAAACCACTTTATCTCGCACCTTCCTTCCTAGTTGCTGTTCATTCTTCTCATGTCTGTCTCCAATCGTTAATGTAGTCTGTTCCTTGGTTTACCACTTTCCCTTTGACCTTGAGGTCTAAAAGTGGGAGCTTGCTTTGTGATGCAGTTGGGTGCTTTCCTCAGTGTGTGTCCTATCCACTTCCAGCGCCTTTTCCTAATTCCTTCCTCAGCTGGAATCTAGTTCGTTTTCTCCCACAGTCGGTTGTCATTCACGCTCTGTGGCCAATGGATGACGAGTACCTTGCGTGGACAACAGTTAATAAAAACCTGTATCTTGTAAATGACAATTTTCGTGCTTCTTCAAGTTTCCGCTCCATACAATGGGATAGTCTTGACGTTTGTATTGGAAATTCTGACTTTGGTGTTGTGTGATTCAGATGTCCTTCAATTGTAGAAATGCTGCCTTTGCTTTGCCCATCCATGTCTTCACATCTGCATCAAATCCACATAGAGTCTTTCTAGGGTTACTCAATATTCTAAGCCCGCATAAAGTAGGGTCAGACATGAAGTTAGTGACCCCATCCCCTAAAAAACTAACTTACCAATAAAACTCTAACTAGAACAACTATATAATTTTTATACAAATTTACTATTTTACTAAAAGAAAATTTCAAACTGGAAAAAAATAGCCAAGTTTCCAAAATACCTTTTAGTAAGGCTGTAATTCCTACTATTTCAGCTATCCTTTGAATAATAAACATTCTCTAGACTATATTGTGCAATATAAAGCTAGTTGTTACATAAATATGCGCATTCGTCATCATTACTTCATTAGACAAAAAAGTCAAATTGTGAATAACTGCAAGCCTAAAAAAAACAGTAACATGTCTGTAGTCTAATAACCAGATTCATTGTGATCAATTATGCTTAATGAGCTAAACGTAAACTTACAATAAAGAAAAAAGTATAATAGAGCAGTCAGTCAAACTTATTTTATTCAGTCAGTTTTTTTTTTATTTTGTATGAATTATGTAAAGTTTACGAATATATTCATACGTCATACATACTGTAATTGACAAGCGAGAAAGAGAGAGAGAGTAGAGAAACAACCATTAAAACTTATTTCTTCAATAAACAAAGAAACTAAGTGTGTTAGCTATTGTATTATTACATAATAATAATATTCATATCATTGCTATAAATAGTAATATACGCCTCTTCATCATTTTATTATCACTTTAAAAAATGACATCAACTAGACGACAATACAAATGCAACAAAATAAACAAAATTAATCGCTTATTAATTAGCAAGAACTACAGA